TCTTTCCAGACATTTCTTTTAAAAGAGCCTTCTGACACACACTGCTGTCAGTATACAGCAGGTGCCTTTAAAACCTTTACTGGTTTGCACAGTGATCAGATTAGCAGAGGGGCATCCCCATACTTAAATTACAGATAATGTAGGAAAACTGTGAAGACCATGGGCAAGTTAAGTATTTTCACTGAGAGCTGTAAACATTTCCGTGGCAATCATGGTACAAAAGATAACTGCTTTGTTATATACATTGCACAAAGATGCTTCACAGATGATTCTGGAAACAGTTTTATGGGAAATAGGTCTGCCGGCAGGGTTGGGTAAAGGAGGCCGTTGCCCTGGCAAATCAAAAGGGTCCAGGGTTCCTGGCTGCTGCCACTGCTTCTGAAGGAGCTGCAATGGCTGGAGCCCTGGGCACTTTAAATTGCTGCCTGAGTGCTGCGCACACGTTCCGGGTGGCTGTGAGGGTTAGTTGCGGGGGAGGGTTCATGGCACGGTATGCTCTAGGAAATGCTAAGGGCTGGCTGCTCCAGTCCTGCCACTTCTGCCCAAGGACCCACCCCTTCCAGGATTGCAGACCTATGCCCAGGGGCCCAGCAAGTCTGTCAGCCCCCTCCTGATGGTGAATAATTGAAAATATAGAGAGCAAGGAAGTTAAAACCTCAGATAAAACATCTTGCCCATCCCTTGAAATTGTTTTTACCTCTGAAACCTTGATGTCCATCTGGGCCAGGCAGCCCTGTGTCCAAATCTCCCCTCTCACCTTTCTGGCCTCTTTCACCTACATAGCACAAAACACATAAAGAAACCAGTATGAGCAATGGATTTGATTGTAGAGGAATATTGCTTATGGATTACTGTAGGAGCATGTGTGTCCCTACCTGGTTCCCCAGCTTCTCCTTTAACTCCAGGAAATCCAATAGGTCCTCTTGGACCATGCTCACCTTTAAATACATCGAGACCTCTTTTCCCCTATTAAAATGATATACATGGGTTTAATAATTAATTATACATTTTTCTACCCCCCTCTCCTATGATCATTCTGAATGGAAGGCTTCAGGCCTCACCATAGCAATTCAGTCTCAGATTGTCCAGGACCATCCTTGAGCTAAGTATTCTTTGCATTTGCTCTGCTCCAGTCAGCTGGGAAGAGTGCAAACTTTCTCCAGTTGTTGACATCTCTCCTTGTTGCAGGCACTCCAGCGGGCCATGCTGAGTATAAGAAAGGTGGCTATTTATATCGCTGTTGTTACCACTGTTATACAATTTCCATAAATCTTATACAAAGAGTGACACATAAGGCGTCAGTGGAAAAGTTACTGTCATGTGTGATTATCCTGGTTAAATCTATATATCAGCTATATATCTGTTATGAATATTGGCTATGCTTTTGTTTCTCAAACGTGTTTGTTCCTGGCTGACACCTCTCAAACAGATTGATATCAAGGCTAAATAGCTGTGTGTTGATAGCCCACAAGGACACTCAGGCTATGTCTAGACTGCAGGCTTCTTTTGGAATAAGTTTTTTTCAGAAGAAATCTTCTGAAAAAACTTCTTCCGAAAGAGCGTGTCCACACTGTCAAAGTGCATTGAAAAAGCGATCTGCTTTTTCAAAAAAGATCATCCAGACTGAACGGACACTCTCTCACATTTAAGCTGTGATTGCTGTGGACAGAGTGGCCACCAGAGCACCTGTGCTTTTCCTCTTCTTCCGAAAGAACTCCCTCTTCCCCGTCCACAAACACCTTTTTGCGAAAGAGCTCTTTCACAAAAATGCTTTTTCCTTGTAGAATGAGGATTACCAATGCTGGGGAAAAAAACTTTGTTCATAAGTACTAAATTATTTCAAACATACAAACAAAACCAGCTTCTGTAATATTGTTGGGAACAGTGATAGGCCTTAACCACCATTATGTACAAGACACAGGAAAGAACCCCGGTTAGTCATGCTCCACACTTGGAACGGGAGAGGGGCCATGCTCTTGGCTAAAGAATTTATAAGATAACTGAGGCAGCTCAGTTGGACAGTGGGACTACAGATGCAAGTCTCTCTGGTGGAGAGGAGCTCTGGAATAGGGTTTAACAGACAGAAAACAATGAATAACCACCATTATGTACAAGACACAGGAAAGAACCCCGGTTAGTCATGCTCCACACTTGGAACGGGAGAGGGGCCATGCTCTTGGCTAAAGAATTTATAAGATAACTGAGGCAGCTCAGTTGGACAGTGGGACTACAGATGCAAGTCTCTCTGGTGGAGAGGAGCTCTGGAATAGGGTTTAACAGACAGAAAACAATGAAGGAAGAA